AAGGTCATTCATATTCATATCACATTTACTTCAGGTCAAGGGTCAACAGGTCATGTCATCAAAGGTCACATCAAGGTCATTACGCGCGCGTACGAGCGCGTCAAAAATTTAAAATGCTTAAAATCACTTAACTATCAAACGAGAGTACGATTCAGGCCATTTTAAGCATTTTGCACAAAAAAGCGCACACGCGTATGCGCGTGCGTTTTCGCGCGTCCTGGCATTTTGCAACATAATTGGCACATTTTTCCAAGCATTTAGATACCTTGTTCACCTTTTTGTGAACATTAATAACGGAATGAGCGTCCGTTTATGTACTTGCGTGTGAGCTCTTGTAATACATAGCATATATGGGCAAAAACATGCCTATAAAAAATCCATTGTATTGTTTAAGATGCCCATTGTACCCTCATTTTATTTTCATATTTGGATAGAGTATGAATTGTTGATATGATTTCATGTCTCATTTGACCCTCAATGAACTCATGACGTCATCATAATGGCCTCTGAACTCAAAATTTCAATTTGCATATTATGACGTCAGCATATATTTAGAACATTGATTGTATTTCTGTTAATATTGATCGATTTTCCTCCGAATTCGGATATGTTCTAGCTAAGACAATTCTCTACTAGTATAGTCATCACGATTTTTCACTTTGACAAAGGCATCATGGCGTATTTTTGCGATTAAAGGAGGCATCTCAATTTTTTACATTTTGCGTTTATTCTCTATGGGACATGACTTTTTCTAAAAACTGGATTCTACATTCCCGTCTTTCGCGAGCAATATCATCATGATCATCATCATCATGATCATCATTGTTTATTTGTCGATATAGTTTCTCCCATTCTCAAATCTATCATAAGAAGTGAAGACAGACCACCTAAATCGTCCCCATGGCGAATTAAATTTCTAGTCTTTCTTTGTTTCTTTTTTTTATTTCCTACACTTTTTTTGTTTACACGATTACTCAAATTGAACCGTCCAATTTCTTTAAAATTTGGCACAGTCATAGGTCATTGTCATAAGACGTGACAGGAACATTTTCCAGGTCATCAAGTCTTCATGACGTCATCCAGGCGCCATTTTTTTTTTTTTTTTAGAAAATCTCAAATGATCATAACTTCATAACCGAAAGCCATTTCTCATTCATATTTACCATGATCAAGGTCCGGTCAATATCAGTCCGGTCAATTTCAGGTCAATAAACGCGCGCGTACGCGTACGTCCGCGCGCGCGCAAATTTCAAAATGCTTCAAATCGTCTCAAATTCGTTTTGCATACGTTTCATGCCATTATAAGCATTTTATAAAAAATCGGGCTTGCGCGCATTTCCGCGCGTTTTCGTCCGTCAAAGCCGAACGCAATATAATTACCAGTCAATTTTTTTTTTTAAAGGATATTCCTCATATTTTTCCAAACAATTTGATGACGTGTTTATCTCTTTATCACTATCAATAACGGAATGAGCGTCTGTTCAAGGCGTATGCGCGAGTTTTGTTAAATACATAGCATATATTGGCAAAGACATGCCTATAAAAAGTCCATTATAGCTCTTTGGGATGCCTAGAGACTCCCCATTCTTTTTTCATATTTGGATAGAGCATGAGTAGGAGATATGATTTCATGTCTCATTTGGCCATTTAGTACATCGTGACGTCATTATAATAGCCTTGGAAGTCAAAATACGAATTAAAATGCTCTAAATCATCCCAAATATTTGTTTGCATACTTTTCAGGCCATTTGGAGCATTTGACAACAAAATCATGCATACGCGCATGCGCGCGCGTTTTTTGCGCGTACTAGCATTTTGCAACGTAGAATCGCCGAATTTTCTCTGTTTTCATATTTGGCACATTTTTCAAAACATTTTGATAACTTGTTTACCTTTTAATAACGCAATAAGCGTCCGTCAAAGTTGACAGCACGCGCGGGCCTGCGTTATCTTTACCCACAATACATGGGCAAAAACATGCCTATACAAAATTCATTGTAACTCTTCAGAATAGATAGCAACTCCCAATATTTTGTATATGTGGATAAATTATAAAATGGAGATATGATTTCATGTCTCATTTGACCCTCTATTAACTCATAATGTCATCATAATGGCCTCCAAACTCAAAATTTAAATTTGCATATTATGACGTCACATATTTTTGGAAAATTGATTGTATCTCTGTAGATATTAATCATTTTTCTTCCACATTTTAATACGTTCTAGCTTAGAAAATTTTCTACAAACGTAGTTTTCACAAATGTTCATTAAGACAATGGCATCATGGCGTATTTTTTCGATTAAAGGAGGCATTTACATTTTTCGCATTTTGCGTGTATTCTCTATGGGACATGACTTTTTCTCAAAACTGGATTCTACATTCCTGTCTTTCGTGAGCAATATCTCCGTTGTTTTAAATCAATTTTCGCTGAGTATCGAGTATGTTGTAGCTGAGACAATCAGTTATCACAACTGTGTCTTTTTTTTCTCAATCAGATGCTGGGATTATGCTCATATTTCACTTGCAAAGTAGGATTTGAGAATTCCATTTCCCGTTTACGTGTAATAACTATGAAATGTTTTGGTATATCGCTAACGCACTTGACTTCCAAGCTCGAGATCCCTGGTTCGAGTCCGGGTGTCTCCAACAATTTGTTTCTTCATTTTTGTCTTCTTTTTGACCTTACACTGTACCACAATTGTTGCGTGTTTTAATAATTTAATATTTAATGTTTACCTTATTATTACCCTATTTTCACTTAATCCATCACTTTTTGCGTGTAATCCCTATGGGAGATGACTTTTTCTCAAATCTGGATTCTACATTCCTGTCTTTTGCGAGCAATATCGCCATTATTTTTGCTTGGATTTAACTGATTTTTGAGTATGTTGTAGCTGAGACTATATGCTATCTAAATCATCCCTCATTTTTTCAATAAGATATCAGGATCACGCTTATGATCATGATCATCATCATAATGATGATAATCATTTATCAATTACATTTTCATTTCTTTGAATAAGATAAAATAGTCAAAATGTGTTCTTCATGATGTAAATTAGAGTCAAAGGTGTAACTGGTTACTGTACAGGGTCAACGGTCATAATACAGGGCGTATCATAATAAAGGATATTGAAGTTTAATGACGATTTATATGAAAACTACTGATTTCATAATCAAGCATTTTATGACTGTTGTAAAGGACAGAATGTCCTCTTGTTAATGACACCCCGATCATACTACTACTGTCACAGTTGACTGAATAACAAAGCATTGCTGTCCACCATGTGAAAGGTGCACTGTGACAAGTTAGCATTCACAGATAAATTCTAAAGATTAGTGCTTGTGTCAGCCCAGACATATTGAAATGCTGAACAATGAGTGGATTATGTGTCTAAGAAGGAAATGTTATCAAACTTGGCACAGTGCACCTTTCACATGGTGGACAGCAATGCTTTGTTATTCAGTCAACTGTGACAGTAGTAGTATGATCGGGGTGTCATTAACAAGAGGACATTCTGTCCTTTACAACAGACATAAAATGCTTGATTATGAAATCAGTAGTTTTCATATAAATCGTCATTAAACTTCAATATCCTTTATTATGATACGCCCTGTATAGTTTCAATCTATCTTCCCTAGATCCATGATGATCAAGGGGACACAATTTAAACTTGACATATAGATAGATCAAAATGGGAGAAGCATTTTATAAAATAATATATCGTGTAATTCATTATTCGTTATGTAAACCATTATTATACGTATCACCTAATTCGTCAAAGTGACGATCTAAAGTCTAGTATTTATTGTATTTTAAATTTCGTACATCATGTTCGTACACCTGTTCCATATTGTATTGCATCTGCCAACTTTTTTTCCGAATTTAATTATTTATGTTTGAGGATATAAGTGCTGTCCTACATACACAATAAGAAGCAAAACCAGGGTTACCTGACGAATTTCTTAACACAGCATCTTATGATTATTTCACTATCTTCTATACTTAAACTAGTGTTATATCAATTTTTCACAAAGTCAAATTACCCAGGTCATCTCGAGAATGTATTTGTCAGAATTTTGTTTTCATTCTAAAAATGTTGAAAGTGAGGAGCAAATATTGCTTTGCTACCTTTACTAAATGAAAATCATACTCTTATTCACCAGGTCCAATCTGCGGTTGTGACTTTGACTTAGACCTGTGCACCTTTACCCAAGCTACTACCGATGATATTGATTGGACGAGGCTGGCAGGTAACACGCCATCTACGAATACCGGCCCGGAAAATGATCATACAATTGGCACAGGTACGTGTATTTTGTTTTACCATTTGAATACTGAAATGTATATTCCCCGTATTTCGCGTACAGAAACCATCCAGTTCCAGCAGGCAATCGCTTAAATTGGCAATAACATTTCCCCAAACAAAAGTTATAATGTTATGTTATTTCTTTCTATTGCTGCATTCTTGTAATGAGATGAAATGATTCTAAAAAATATACATGAGCAGGAACAGTTTGAAAGTTTTAAAAATTCAATTTTGATTGAAATGAAATAATATTAAAGTTATCAACTCCTATTTACATTTTTGTTTCTTCTTCAAATTCCAAGTTTAATTGGTACCTGATAATAATTACTGGTGTAATAATAATTGAAGGGTCCTAGGAAAGAACGACAACATTGATGCTAACGAGGCTCCGATTGGTTAACAAAAGTATATTCATCTTTATTTCCTACATAATGATAATAATTTATTAAATAATAATCGCCCTTTTACCTCAATAAAAGCTTGATTTCGATAACTGTTCGTAAGATTGATTTCTTTTGGCATCGTTTTGACTCCACTGGTATTAATTTTTCGATCTCCTTTCGATAATAGCGGCTGGATTCTACATCTACACAGAAGCAACGCTTTTGTTCAACAAAGTTGCCGTACTGGAGTCGGAACTCATTCGTGCGTCGTCCGGGCGATTGTGCGCCGATTTTTGGTACCACATGTGGGGAGCTGACATTGGTACACTCAATATCTATGCCAAGACCGGGACCACGCTGGGCCAGGTCCTATGGACCCAAAGTGGGGCTCTGTCCAGGAACTGGTTTCAGGCCCAGATTGATTTCATTCCTACTGCCGATTTTAAGGTTAGTCAATCAAAGTTGTTGATGTTGTTATTGTTGAGATTAATGGCGTTTCCATCGTCATAGGATGATTTTCGCCATGGTTTGTTATGTTCCTAATATTAGAAACGTCAGTGTTTAGTTTTTCGTAGTACAAAAATAGAATTGAAAAGAAACATGTTTTGTAATCTCAAAATAAAATGCACCTCTGGGCTCCTTTGGTATTGTGTAAATGGTTTCATGGCAATTGTCGTTTCGATAACATTTATAGGGACAGTAGGAATAGCAGTATAAATACTTATGTGGCTACGCTGAGTAAACAAGACCAAATTATTTATAATTAATTATAATAATGAGTATTCTAGTAACTTTGAATTACTTTTTTGTTCTTCCTTTAGTTCGTATTTGAGGGCGTTACTGGTGCGGATTACGAAAGTGACATCGCTCTCGATGACATCTATATTACAACAGGAGCATGCGGAGGTATATATCTAATATTATTATTGTTGTTGGTGTTCTTGTTTTCGTCAGTATTAGTATCATTTTCATTATTATTAGTTTTTATAAACCTCACTTAAGAAATCCAGCCATCTGATTGGTCGAAATTGCAGTCATGGTTTTAACTATTCCTGTAAAATTCCCGGTAAAATTACAGTTACCGGGAAAATAGTTCAGTCTTGGTGAAATACCCATAGGTTCACATGTTAACAACTGGTTTGAGCGATCGAGGATACCGTACGTGTGTGAAGAATTGGTCGGTATTTTTAATACGGCAATCTCGATCGTACTGAATTCCAAACAAGGCAAAAATGGCTGAAGAAACTCTCCCAAGATGTTAACTTCTTGATGATGATCAAATGCAAGACTTGCTGACCTCAAGAACACCAAAAAGAGTAAGTGAAATTCTCCATATTTTCTTTTCAAAATAGATCTAGTAGGGGTCTAGATTCTAGTAGGGGTCTAGTAGGCCTAGTGCTAAAATCCTTCCCGTAGAGATTGCACACATCACTATGCATTGGTCATTGCGCACTCATGCTAAATTGGTCGATGTTTTAATTACCAGAGATTCAAACTAATATTGCTTGTGATCCTGAAGGTGATACTAATTAAGTGAGGTGTCATGAAAGCGCAGGTTTTTCTCCATATTCCCCACAAGGACGGCTCACCCCCGAAATTGTAAAAATATCTTGCTTAGACTAGAATCTAGATCTAGTTAGGTGGTCTGTCTTCGACAGACTACCTATTGTTTTTGTTCAAATTTTTAGGTGGTCTGTCGTAGACAGATCACCTATTGTTTTCATCAGAATTTTCTTTATCAGGTGAGCTGTATCTAGTACAGACCACCTTATATTTTTGTTAAAATTGCCTTTATTATTATTTATTATTTATTTATTTTTCTTAATTCTTACCACTTTTTTGTTGGCAAGATAACTTGAGAATGGATAAATAAAAAAAACTTGAAATTTGGCACACATATGTATAGGCATATAGTGAAATCACAATGACGTTTTCAACCTTGACCTTGACTGATGACGTCATCTAGGCGCCATTTTGCGAAAATAAACTCATGATCATATCTTCATAACGAAAAGTACTTTCTCATTCATATTTATCATGATCAAGGTCAATATCCGTCCAGTCAATTTCAGGTCAAAAAACGCGCGCGTGCGCGTACGTCCGCGCGTCAGTGTGCGCGCAAATTTTTTAAAAGCTCAAAATCGTCTCAAATTTATTTTGCATAAGTTTTAGGCCATTTTAAGCATTTTATAAAAAATCGCACACACGCGCGCGTTTTCGCGCGTAACACCTTTACACAACATAGAATCGCCATTTTTTTTCTTTAATGATATTTCTATATTTTTTCGAACAATTTGATACCATGTTTATGTCTTTATGACCATTAATAACAATATGAGCGTCCATTCAAGATAAATGTCCGTGCGCGCGGGCTCTTTTAATACATAGCAAATATGGGCAAAAACAGGCCTATACAAAATCCATTATAGCTCTTTGGAATGCACCGACACCCTCAATTCTTTTTCATATTTGGAAAAAGTATGAGTTGGAGATATGATTTAATGTCTCATTTGGCCATTAAATTTATCGTAACATCATAATAATAGCCTTGGAACTCAAAAAACGAATTTGCATTTAATGACGTCAGGATATTTATGTAAAATTGATTGTATCTCTGTAAATATTGATCGATTTTCTTCCAAAATTAGATATGTTGTAGCTAAGACAATTTTTTGTAAGCTTAGATTCACCATGTTACATTTTGATGACGTCATCAAAGTGAAAATTTCGATTAAAGGCCTCATGTCAGAAATTTCTTAATTTGCGTGTTATGCCTATATAAGGTGAATTTTGTTCACGTCATGAATCTACATGATACTGTTTTTTAAGAATTTTTAAGCAGTATCTCGCTTAATTTTGCTCTATTTTGTCTCAATTTTGGTTGACCAGCCCACCTAAACTTGTTCCAAACAAGTATTACATGTCTAGTTTTTTTTTTTTTTTTTTTTTTTTTATTGTTCCAACCTTTTTTGTTCACAGGATAACTCGAGATTGGTTGAGTCAATTTTGTTCAATTTTAATACAGTCATAGGTCATTGCCATAAGACGTGACCGTAACATTTTTAAGGTCATCAAGATTTCATGATGTCATCCAGGCGTACTTTTTACTTAGGATCATATCTTCATGACGCGTAGTCAAAGGTCATTCATATTCATATCACATTTACTTCAGGTCAAGGGTCAACAGGTCATGTCATCAAAGGTCACATCAAGGTCATTACGCGCGCGTACGAGCGCGTCAAAAATTAAAAATGCTTAAAATCACTTACTATCAAACGAGAGTACGATTCAGGCCATTTTAAGCATTTTGCACAAAATCGCACACACGCGCGCGTTTTCGCGCGTAACACCTTTACACAACATAGAATCGCCATTTTTTTTTCTTTAATGATATTTCTATATTTTTTCGAACAATTTGATAGCATGTTTATGTCTTTATGACCATTAATAACAATATGAGCGTCCATTCAAGATAAATGTCCGTGCGCGCGGGCTCTTTTAATACATAGCAAATATGGGCAAAAACAGGCCTATACAAAATCCATTATAGCTCTTTGGAATGCACCGACACCCTCAATTCTTTTTCATATTTGGAAAAAGTATGAGTTGGAGATATGATTTAATGTCTCATTTGGCCATTAAATTTATCATAACATCATAATAATAGCCTTGGAACTCAAAAAACGAATTTGCATTTTATGACGTCAGGATATTTATGTAAAATTGATTGTATCTCTGTAAATATTGATCGATTTTCTTCCAAATTTAGATATGTTGTAGCTAAGACAATTTTTCACAAGCTTAGATTCACCATGTTACATTTTGATGACGTCATCAAAGTGAAAATTTCGATTAAAGGCCTCATGTCAGAAATTTGTTAATTTGCGTGTTATGCCTATATAAGGTGAATTTTGTTCACGTCATGAATCTACATGATACTGTTTTTTAAGAATTTTTAAGCAGTATCTCGCTTAATTTTGCTCTATTTTGTCTCAAATTTTAGTTGACCAGCCCACCTAAACTTGTTCCAAACAAGTATTACATGTCTAGTTTTTTTTTTTTTTTTTTTTTTTTATTGTTCCAACTTTTTTGTTCACAGGATAACTCGAGATTGGTTGAGTCAATTTTGTTCAATTTTAATACAGTCATAGGTCATTGCCATAAGACGTGACCGTAACATTTTTAAGGTCATCAAGATTTCATGACGCCATCCAGGCGTACTTTTTACTTAGGATCATATCTTCATGACGCGTAGTCAAAGGTCATTCATATTCATATCACATTTACTTCAGGTCAAGGGTCAACAGGTCATGTCATCAAAGGTCACATCAAGGTCATTACGCGCGCGTACGAGCGCGTCAAAAATTTAAAATGCTTAAAATCACTTAACTATCAAACGAGAGTCCGATTCATGCATTTTAAGCATTTTGCACAAAATCGCACACACGCGCGCGTTTTCGCGCGTAACACCTTTACACAACATAGAATCGCCATTTTTTTTTTCTTTAATGATATTTCTATATTTTTTCGAACAATTTGATAGCATTTTTATGTCGTTATGACCATTAATAACAATATGAGCGTCCATTCAAGATAAATGTCCGTGCGCGCGGGCTCTTTTAATACATAGCAAATATGGGCAAAAACAGGGCCATACAAAATCCATTATAGCTCTTTGGAATGCACCGACACCCTCAATTCTTTTTCATATTTGGAAAAAGTATGAGTTGGAGATATGATTTAATGTCTCATTTGGCCATTAAATTTATCATAACATCATAATAATAGCCTTGGAACTCAAAAAACGAATTTGCATTTTATGACGTCAGGATATTTATGTAAAATTGATTGTATCTCTGGAAATATTGATCGATTTTCTTTCAAATTTAGATATGTTGTAGCTAAGACAATTTTCTACAAGCTTAAATTCACCATGTTACATTTTGATGACGTCATCAAAGTGAAAATTTCGATTAAAGGCCTCATGTCAGAAATTTCTTAATTTGCGTGTTATGCCTATATAAGGTGAATTTTGTTCACGTCATGAATCTACATGATACTGTTTTTTAAGAATTTTTAAGCAGTATCTCGCTTAATTTTGCTCTATTTTGTCTCAAATTTTAGTTGACCAGCCCACCTAAACTTGTTCCAAACAAGTATTACATGTCTAGTTATTTTTTTTTTTTTTTTTTTATTGTTCCAACTTTTTTGTTCACAGGATAACTCGAGATTGGTTGAGTCAATTTTGTTTAATTTTGACACAGTCATAGGTCATTGCCATAAGACGTGACAGTAACATTTTTAAGGTCATCAAGTTTTCATGACGTCATCCAGGTGTACTTTTTACTCAGGATCATATCTCCATGACGCGTAGTCAAAGGTCATTCATATTCATATCACATTTACTTCAGGTCAAGGGTCAACAGGTCATGTCATCAAAGGTCACATCAAGGTCATTACGCGCGCGTACGAGCGCGTCAAAAATTTAAAATGCTTAAAATCACTTAACTATCAAACGAGAGTACGATTCAGGCCATTTTAAGCATTTTGCACAAAAAAGCGCACACGCGTATGCGCGTGCGTTTTCGCGCGTCCTGGCATTTTGCAACATAATTGGCACATTTTTCCAAGCATTTAGATACCTTGTTCACCTTTTTGTGAACATTAATAACGGAATGAGCGTCCGTTTATGTACTTGCGTGTGAGCTCTTGTAATACATAGCATATATGGGCAAAAACATGCCTATAAAAAATCCATTGTACTGTTTAGGATGCCCATTGTACCCTCATTTTATTTCATATTTGGATAGAGTATGAATTGTTGATATGATTTCATGTCTCATTTGACCCTCAATGAACTCATGACGTCATCATAATGGCCTCTGAACTCAAAATTTCAATTTGCATATTATGACGTCAGCATATATTTAGAACATTGATTGTATTTCTGTTAATATTGATCGATTTTCCTCCGAATTCGGATATGTTCTAGCTAAGACAATTCTCTACTAGTATAGTCATCACGATTTTTCACTTTGACAAAGGCATCATGGCGTATTTTTGTGATTAAAGGAGGCATCTCAATTTTTTACATTTTGCGTTTATTCTCTATGGGACATGACTTTTTCTAAAAACTGGATTCTACATTCCCGTCTTTCGCGAGCAATATCATCATGATCATCATCATCATGATCATCATTGTTTATTTGTCGATATAGTTTCTCCCATTCTCAAATCTATCATAAGAAGTGAAGACAGACTACCTAAATCGTCCCCATGGCGAATTCAATTTCTAGTCTTTCTTTGTTTCTTTTTTTTTATTTCCTACACTTTTTTGTTTACACGATTACTCAAATTGAACCGTCCAATTTCTTTAAAATTTGGCACAGTCATAGGTCATTGTCATAAGACGTGACAGGAACATTTTCCAGGTCATCAAGTCTTCATGACGTCATCCAGGCGCCATTTTTTTTTTTTTTTAGAAAATCTCAAATGATCATAACTTCATAACCGAAAGCCATTTCTCATTCATATTTACCATGATCAAGGTCAATATCAGTCCGGTCAATTTCAGGTCAATAAACGCGCGCGTACGCGTACGTCCGCGCGCGCGCAAATTTCAAAATGCTTCAAATCGTCTCAAATTCGTTTTGCATACGTTTCATGCCATTATAAGCATTTTATAAAAAATCGGGCTTGCGCGCATTTCCGCGCGTTTTCGTCCGTCAAAGCCGAACGCAATATAATTACCAGTCAATTTTTTTTTTAAAGGATATTCCTCATATTTTTCCAAACAATTTGATAACATGTTTATCTCTTTATCACTATCAATAACGGAATGAGCGTCTGTTCAAGGCGTATGCGCGAGTTTTGTTAAATACATAGCATATATTGGCAAAAACATGCCTATAAAAAGTCCATTATAGCTCTTTGGGATGCCTAGAGACTCCCCATTCTTTTTTCATATTTGGATAGAGCATGAGTAGGAGATATGATTTCATGTCTCATTTGGCCATTAAGTACATCGTGACGTCATTATAATAGCCTTGGAAGTCAAAATACGAATTAAAATGCTCTAAATCATCCCAAATATTTGTTTGCATACTTTTCAGGCCATTTGGAGCATTTGACAACAAAATCATGCATACGCGCATGCGCGCGCGTTTTTGCGCGTACTAGCATTTTGCAACGTAGAATCGCCGAATTTTCTCTGTTTTCATATTTGGCACATTTTTCAAAACATTTTGATAACTTGTTTACCTTTTAATAACGCAATAAGCGTCCGTCAAAGTTGACAGCACGCGCGGGCCTGCGTTATCTTTACCCACAATACATGGGCAAAAACATGCCTATACAAAATTCATTGTAACTCTTCAGAATAGATAGCAACTCCCAATATTTTGTATATGTGGATAAATTATAAAATGGAGATATGATTTCATGTCTCATTTGACCCTATATTAACTCATAATGTCATCATAATGGCCTCCAAACTCAAAATTTAAATTTGCATATTATGACGTCACATATTTTTGGAAAATTGATTGTATCTCTGTAGATATTAATCATTTTTCTTCCACATTTTAATACGTTCTAGCTTAGAAAATTTTCTACAAACGTAGTTTTCACAAATGTTCATTAAGACAATGGCATCATGGCGTATTTTTTCGATTAAAGGAGGCATTTACATTTTTCGCATTTTGCGTGTATTCTCTATGGGACATGACTTTTTCTCAAAACTGGATTCTACATTCCTGTCTTTCGTGAGCAATATCTCCGTTGTTTTAAATCAATTTTCGCTGAGTATCGAGTATGTTGTAGCTGAGACAATCAGTTATCACAAATGTGTCTTTTTTTTTTTCTCAATCAGATGCTGGGATTATGCTCATATTTCACTTGCAAAGTAGGATTTGAGAATTCCATTTCCCGTTTACGTGTAATAACTATGAAATGTTTTGGTATATCGCTAACGCACTTGACTTCCAAGCTCGAGATCCCTGGTTCGAGTCCGGGTGTCTCCAACAATTTGTTTCTTCATTTTTGTCTTCTTTTTGACCTTACACTGTACCACAATTGTTGCGTGTTTTAATAATTTAATATTTAATGTTTACCTTATTATTACCCTATTTTCACTTAATCCATCACTTTTTGCGTGTAATCCCTATGGGAGATGACTTTTTCTCAAATCTGGATTCTGATAATCATTTATCAATTACATTTTCATTTCTTTGAATAAGATAAAATAGTAAAAATGTGTTCTTCATGATGTAAATTAGAGTCAAAGGTGTAACTGGTTACTGTACAGGGTCAACGGTCATAGTTTCAATCTATCTTCCCTAGATCCATGATGATCAAGGGGACACAATTTAAACTTGACATATAGATAGATCAAAATGGGAGAAGCATTTTATAAAATAATATATCGTGTAATTCATTATTCGTTATGTAAACCATTATTATACGTATCACCTAATTCGTCAAAGTGACGATCTAAAGTCTAGTATTTATTGTATTTTAAATTTCGTACATCATGTTCGTACACCTGTTCCATATTGTATTGCATCTGCCAACTTTTTTTCCGAATTTAATTATTTATGTTTGAGGATATAAGTGCTGTCCTACATACACAATAAGAAGCAAAACCAGGGTTACCTGACGAATTTCTTAACACAGCATCTTATGATTATTTCACTATCTTCTATACTTAAACTAGTGTTATATCAATTTTTCACAAAGTCAAATTACCCAGGTCATCTCGAGAATGTATTTGTCGGAATTTTTCTTTCATTCTAAAAATGTTGAAAGTGAGGAGCAAATATTGCTTTGCTACCTTTACTAAATGAAAATCATACTCTTATTCACCAGGTTCAATCTGCGGTTGTGACTTTGACTTAGACCTGTGCACCTTTACCCAAGCTACTACCGATGATATTGATTGGACGAGGCTGGCAGGTAACACGCCATCTACGAATACCGGCCCGGAAAATGATCATACAATTGGCACAGGTACGTGTATTTTGTTTAACCATTTGAATACTGAAATGTATATTCCCCGTATTTCGCGTACAGAAACCATCCAGTTCCAGCAGGCAATCGCTTAAATTGGCAATAACATTTCCCCAAACAAAAGTTATAATGTTATGTTATTTCTTTCTATTGCTGCATTCTTGTAATGAGATGAAATGATTCTGAAAAAATATACATGAGTAGGAACAGTTTGAAAGTTTTAAAAATTCAATTTTGATTGAAATGAAATGATATTGAAGTTATCAACTCCTATTTACATTTTTTTTTCTTCTTCAAATTCCAAGTTTAAATGGTACCTGATAATAATTAATGGGGTAATAATAATTGAAGGGTCCTAGGGAAGAACGACAACATTGATGCTAACGAGGCTCCGATTGGTTAACAAAAGTATATTCATCTTTATTTCCTACATAATTCTTAGATGATAAGAATTTATTAAATAATAATCGCCCTTTTACCTCAATAAAAGCTTGATTTCGATAACTGTTCGTAAGATTGATTTCTTTTGGCATCGTTTTGACTCCACTGGTATTAATTTTTTGATCTCCTTTCGATAATAGCGGCTGGATTCTACATCTACACAGAAGCATCGAACTTGTTCAACAAAGTTGCCGTACTGGAGTCGGAACTCATTCTTGCGTCGTCCGGGCGATTGTGCGCCGATTTTTGGTACCACATGTGGGGAGCTGACATTGGAACACTCAATATCTATGTCAAGACCGGGACCACGCTGGGCCAGGTCCTATGGACCCAAAGTGGGGCTCTGTCCAGGAACTGGTTTCAGGCCCAAATTGATTTCATTCCTACTGCCGATTTTAAGGTTAGACAATCAAAGTTGTTGATGTTGTTATTGTTGAGATTAATGGCGTTTCCATCGTCATTGGATGATTTTCGCCATGGTTTGTTATGTTCCTAATATTAGAAACGTCAGTGTTTAGTTTTTCGTAGTACAAAAATAGAATTGAAAAGAAACATGTTTTGTAATCTCAAAATAAAATGCACCTCTGGGCTCCTTTGGTATTGTGTAAATGGTTTCATGGCAATTGTCGTGTCGATAACATTTATAGGGACAGCAGGAATAGCAGTATAAATACTTATGTGGCTACGCTGAGTAAACAAGACCAAATTATTTATTATTAATTATAATAATGAGTATTCTAGTAACTTTGAATTACTTTTTTGTTCTTCCTTTAGTTCGTATTTGAGGGCGTTACTGGTGCGAATTACAACAGTGACATCGCTCTCGATGACATCTATATTACAACAGGAGCATGCGGAGGTATATATCTAATATTATTATTGTTGTTGGTGTTCTGTTTTCATCATTATTAGTATCATTTTCATTATTATTAGTTATTATAAACCTCACACAAGAAATCCAGCCATCTGATTGGTCGAAATTGCAGTCATGGTTTTAACTATTTCTGTAAAATTCCCGGTAAAATTACAGTTACTGGGAAAATAGTTCAGTCTTGGTGAAATACCCTTAGGTTCACATGTTAAATTGCTCTGAATCGATTTGAAGTACATCACATCTATTTCTGGAATTTGTTTGAATATCAGAAGTCTTCTTCTGAAATTGTAGGATTATAGTTGTGTTGGTGGTCGGTAAGGTTTTGAAAAACATCTATCTTAAGCCCCCATCACACCAAACTAGTTCTCACTACGTTCTTAAAAATGTTGCCAAACGGGCTCAAACTGTGTGCGGACGGAGTTGAATGTAATAGCAACTGTTTGCGAACTGTTTAAGAACTTTATGGGGGGCTCGGACTGGACTTATGTCTCTAATACGATCCTAGTTCGTTCATTAATAGTCCGGAATACGTCCAACTCGTCTGTACCCGTCCACGGTCAGTTCATATCAAGTTCAGATCGGATGAATTAGAAATTTTCAAGCAGTCCAAACCATTTGTACTAGTTCGGAACTTGTTCTAACTAGTTTATAACTCAACCACCCCGTTCAGAGACTGTTTAACTCGTCCTCATCTCGTTCTTAGTGCGTTCGAACGCGCTTCTATCGTGCTTTGCAATCCCGGCCTGGTTCGAGTGCTATACAAACCCAGCGCGTTATTCCTCATTGATGCTCGACCACATCACGTGGTAACACGTTCCTAGTAGGATCGAAGTACGGCAATTCCGTTCGTAGTACACCATTTCGTTTTAAATACGTTGTCACTCCGTCCAATTGCAGTACGGGGAGCATTTTGAGCAGGCTCAAAGTTCCTGACCACCCTTCCCGTCCAGGCCAGTCCGAGCCTGTCCATGAAGTCCTTAAAAAGATCGTAAATAGTTGCTAATGCGTTCACTCCGTTCACACACATTTCGGCAACATTTTCCAGATCATAGTGAGAACTAGTTTGGTGTGATAGGTGCTTGACTTGAACGTCTTGATCTGCAAAGCCTAAAGCGTTGAAGTTAAACGGGAATGAGGAAAAGCGAGAACGCGCTGGGTTTTTATAACTCCTGAGTCAGGACGGGATTGCACTCGCTCTAGGAGCGCGTTCGAACGCACTCAGAACGAGATGAGGAATAGTTGAACTGCCTCTGAACGGGGTGGTCGGGTTAAAAAAAACTAGTTAGAACAAGTGGCGAACTAGTTAGAATGGGTATGGACGTATTGGGAACGAGGTAGAACTAGTTAATAATGGGTTTAAACCGACTACGGACTGGCTTGGACTGCCTAATCTACCCGATCTGAACTTTATATGAACTGGCTGTGGACGGGGTACAAACGAGATGGACGTATTGAGGACTGTTAAGAACGAAATAGGATCGTATTATAGACATTTTTTACACATTCTGCCCCGACCACAACCCGTTTTATCGATTGGAACCGACTCCTATTAGGCGCAAGGCATGAGACTGCAAATACCCTCAATTGTATATAACCAATATTGCATACATTTCGCTGTTCAAAATAACATATATTCGAATCGTGCCATTATTATTTCAACCTCAGCCTGCGGCCTCGGTGAAGTATAACATTACTCTGAAAATTCTAAATTTATCGGTTCATTTATTTTGTGACATGAACGCCGGAGCATGCAATATTCGTATAATAATATTTAATCTCAGTAATCAGGGTGTGAAATATATGCCACTCTCCACCAAGGTGTGGTAAAGGGATACCAGGTAGGAATCTATTCATTGGGTGCTTTGACCGCCGTAGGGCAGCTGGTAGTACTTTACAGGCGACTTACGTATGCCATGTAATGGATAAGTGCCCAATATACATGTAGCTAGTAGTAGATGTAGTAGTAATAATCTAAATATACTAGAGTTTGATGCCATGTTAAATATATATTCGAATTGGATGGATTTTGCAGTTAGAATATTATTGATGAATAGGTAATGAAGTAAAATTAACCGACCTTAGTTTCAATTCTCCCTCCGCCTCATTTTACCTACTTATCCGTAACCACCTGTATGTATCCTCTATTTAACTTATATTAAAGATTCCACAACGAGCTTGATCCCAACTGAAGCACCTAGTACTGGTAAGTCTCTGTAAATTTACTTGTACCATGACTTCCTTTTACTATGACTGTCTAGATTGCGTCATGTTTTTTTATCTTGTTGATATTAAAAATCTAAGTGTTTCGTACGACATAACTTTCTTTACCCTCCAATTGTCATCCATAAATGAATAATCTCTTAATGTCTTATTCAATCCGTACAACAAGATATTTTTGGATGAAATCAATGGATAAAAGACTTGCGTTGTCAGGAACCATTTCAAAGATCGCCCATTGATGTAGACACTTTAAAATGGCGAAAGTGGCATCTGACTGCTATATTGTCCAAAGCCTCAACCCGTCATGAACGTGGTTCGGAGTAAAAGGCCTACTGTAGTAAGTATAGATCAAAAGTTTAAACAAAAAATACCTTTTGCTCGGTCGTGTTTCATTTTTTCCTGTCATCATACGTTGCAGAAGAAATGCCAACAACCACAGAAGTTTACAACCCTACAACTGACCAAGCTAATCCAGGTGAGTCATAAAAATATAGTGGGGGCATTATGGTATAGTGGTGAAGGCTCTTGACTCTCATACGAGAGTTCCCGCATTCGATCCTCGTTCGTTGGTTACATCCTTAGATCTAGCGTTTTGCCATTTGATTTCCCTCTCGATCCATGTGTATTTGAAGGATACCTACCACTGCTGGGGTACATCGGGTAATACTAATCATATGGTCCGCAGGAACAGCGGTTTTGTAAATGATGTGGTAGCCTTGGTAAATAAGACCAAATCATTATTGCTATCGTTATCATTAACATTATAATTAGGTGATACGTAACGAAGTCAACGTATCACCTTTTGATTTCGTCAAGATTTTTCTTTATTATTATTATTATTATTATTATTTATTTTTATTATTCTTCCTCGAATTTGTTCGCAGGATATCTCAAGACTGAATAAAGCCATTATCATGAAACTTTCAATGATGATAGATCTTAGTCTAACTTAGAACTGTGTGACTTTTCAGACAGTCAAGGTCATCGTGACGTCATCCAGGCGCCATTTTGTGAAAATCAACTTATGATCATATCTTCATAAAGGAAAGCCATTTTTCATTCATATTTATCATGATTAAACTCAATATCCGTCCGGTCAATTTCAAGTCAATAAATGCGCGCAAAAATGCGCGTACGCTTATGTCCGCGCGTTTACGCGCGCGAAAAAAATTAAAATGCTCCAAATCATCCCAAATTTTTTTTACATCCGTTTCAGGCCATATGGAGCATTTGATAAAAAAATTACGCACACGCGCATGCGCGCGCATTTTCGCGCGTACTGGCATTTTGCAATATAGAATCGCCGAATTTTTTCTGTCATTATATTTGATACATTTTTCCAAGCATTTTGATAACTTGTTCACCTTTTAATAACGCAATGAGCGTCCGTCAAAGTTGACAGCACGCGCAGATCTTTATCCACCATACATTGGCAAAAACATGCCTATACAAAATTCATTGTAACTGTTCAGAATGGATGGGAACTCCCAATGTGTTTTCATATTTAGATAGATTATGAGTTGGAGATATGATTTCATGTCTCATTTGACCCTCAATTAACTCATGATGTCATCATAATGGCCTCCAAACTCAAAATTTCAATTTGCATATTATGACGTCAGCATATTTTTGGAAAATTAATTGTATCTCTGTAAATATTGATCAATTTTCTTTTAAATTTTGATATGTTCTAGCTGAGACAATTTGCTACAAGTATAGTTGCCACAATTTTTCATTTTGACTAAGGCATCAAGGCGTACTTTTGCGATTAAAGGAGGCATGTCAATTTTTCAGATTTTGCGTGTATTCTCTATGGGACATGACTTTTTCTCAAAACTGGATTCTACACTCCTGTCTTTTGCGAGCGAAATCTCCCATATTTTAGCTTTGTTTTCGCTGAGCTTCGAATATGTTGTAGCTGAGACAATAAGCTATCACACGTGTGCCTTTTATATTTCGATCAGATGCCGGGATTATGCTCATATTTCACTTGCAAAGTAGGATTTCTGAATTCCATTTCCCGTTTACGTGTAATTAATCGCTATGGCAGATGTTTTGGTATATCGGTAACGCACTTGACTTCCAACCTCGAGATTCCGGGTGTCTCCAACACTTTTTTTTTCACTTTTTTTTTTCCTTTTGACCTTCACTGTACCATCTCCTTTGATTATTTAAACACGTAGATTCGCAAATAATGTCATAAATAACCCTTTTTACTTTATTATTACCCTATTTTCACTTAATCCATTACTTTTTGCGTGTAATCCCTATGGGAGATGACTTTTTTTTTCAAATCTGGATTCTACATTCCTGTCTTTTGCGAGCAATATCGCCGTTATTTCGGCTTGGATTTTGTTGATTTTTGAGTATGTTGTAGCTGAGACTATATGCTATCTAAATCAACCCTCTTTTTTTCAATAAGATGTCATGATCGCGCTTATGATCATGATCATGATCATCATGATCATCATTATCATAATGATGATAATCATTTATCAATTACATTTTCATTTCTTTGAATAAGATAAAAATCGTCAAAAGGTGTTCTTCATGATGTAAATTAGAGTCAAATGTGTAACTGGTTACTGCACAGGGTCAAAGGTCATATATTGTTTCAATCTATCTTCCCTAGATCCATGATGATCAAGGAGACACAATTTAATCTTGACATATGAATAGATCATAATGGGAGAAGCATATAAATGGGAGAAGCATTTTACAAAATAATATATCGTGTAATGCATTATTCGCTATGTAAACCACTATCATACGTATCACCTAATTCGTCTAAGTGACGAATTAAAGTCTAGTTATTATTATTATTATTATTATTGTCATCGTTATCATTATAGCTGTTGTTGTTGCTATCATTTTATTTAGTGCTATTTTGATACCTTTCTCACAATTATTGTACTCTTTTCCTAAAGTCACGTTTAGTTTGAGAGATTCAGCTTCATGTTATACTTTGTTCTAGCTCAACCAAATATTGAAATGAAGTCGAACTTAATTAAACTAAATGATCCGAATCGAATTAGAATGCAGCACATCCATTTCTGGAATTTGTTTGAATATCAGAAGTCTTCTTCTGAAATTATAGAATTATAGTTTCTCGTTGTCATTAAGGTTTTGACATACATCTATCTAAGCTGATGTTTTTGTGTTATTCCTCCATGACAACATTATGAATGATACCATATTTGTTATAATTTTGCAGCCACTGAATGAGCAGTACATCAGAATAACCTGTAGATTCTCTATTTAGCTATTTTTTAATATAGCTGGCATATCTATTATGGTCGCGCCTTGTCCGAAGGTTTCAGATAGGTGCGCGTAATAAATTCATACATTATTATATTATTATATTCTCTGTACGTATTGATTTGTTTGTGTAGGTTGTTACGCCAGTTTTCCGTCGAAAGTCGAATTTCGGACAAAACCTTGTGCCAGACTACCGCACCTTGCCCCAGGGCGTTGTGTCTCAAAAAAGGATGCCCGGACCTGTTCTGTTCATTTTTATGCCTGCCCTGAATGCTATTGAATTTCACAAATGAAATAACGCCTCGTGTGCACCGGAGGCACATACTCTCATACGACACTTATACACAATAACATAAAGTCTTGAGCAGAGCCAAAATCAGTCTCTGATTGTGTCAATTAAGTCACAAGCAGTACAGTACAGGGCCTATTGACTACTCTATATAGGCTCTTTGCTCAGACCCTCTGCCATGCATTTCGACACGGTTTTGTGCTTGCAAACTACTTGTTGCACACGCGCGTGAAATTAGTGATGCATGACTGCGTCAGAGAGAGGTTCGGCATTTAACGCACCTTGTGAGAGTGACATCGCGCTGAAAGTGAATTGCAAAATGAGCAGCACAAAACATCATCATCATCAACTTCAGGTGGCGCTGTAAAGCGCTGCTGTGGCCTTCACGAGAGCACGCCATGCAACTCTCACCATGAACATGACTGACAAAGAAAGCGGACAAAATATACAGTTCCTCAGGTAGACAAAGGAACATCCCTTCACTGCTATTATGTAAAAATGTGTAGAACAGGTGAATATGCATGTGACACATTTTTACATTATAGTAGTGAAGGGATGTTCCTTTGTCTACCTGAGGAACTGTATATTTTGTCCGTTTTCTTTGTCAGTCATGTACATAGTGTCTTTCACCTGCCATTTGTGATGCACCTTTCATTCCTAAAGGCCCGGTCCCACTGCACTTACGGATGCAAAGCGGACGTAAAACGTAAAAAAATCTTGCCATCCGTTGGAAAACGCTATGCATCCGTTGTGTACTCATTGCATACGTGTTTCATACGCTCTATCCGTCGAGTATCCGTCCACTGTGATTTCATCCGCGCAAAATGTTTTGAGCTGCACAAAACTTTTAGAACGGATGAACTTCCGCCGTGTACGATGTAAATCCGCGACAAATACGAGCAACAAACGTTCTATGTCCGTTATCATCCGTTAAACGTCCGCTGTATCCTTTCTGCATCCTCTGGGCATCCTCGCAACTCACATCCGCTGCAGCTGGAAACGGAAAGAGGGGGGAAAGATAAGGTACATGGAACGTCTATACATCGTTAGTAGCACGGAAATAGAAAGGATGTAAGCGTATGCATCTCGTATATAAAGTATTCAAAGCTGTCATCCACTTCCATCCGCTTTCATCCGCTAGGCTTCCGATGAACATCCGTTTAACATCCCCGCTACATACTACCCACGTCCGTTATTTTCCGTTCTGTTTTCGCAAATTTTCGCAAATTTTGTCCATTTCTGGAGCGGATGAAAACGGATGGAGCCACCCCAAAAATTTCGCTCGTCCGCTGTGTGCTTTATGCATACGTTTTGTGTCCGTCGGCCAGTGGGACCGGGCCATTAAGGCCCGGTCCCACTGCACTTACGGATGCAAAGAGGATGTAAAGCGTAAAAAAATCTTGCCATCCGTTGGAAAACGCTATGCATCCGTTGTGTACTCATTGCATACGTGTTTCATACGCTCTATCCATCGAGCATCCGTCCACTGTGATTTCATCCGCGCAAAAAGTTTTGAGCTTCACAAAACTTTTAGAACGGATGAACTTCCGCCGTGTACGATGTAAATCCGCGACAAATACGAGCAACAAACGTTTTATGTCCGTTATCATCCGTTAAACGTCCGCTGTATCCTCTCTGCATCCTCTAGGCATCCTCGCAACTCACATCCGCTGCAGCTGAAAACGGAAAGAGGGAGGAAAGATAAGGTACACGGAACGTCTATACATCGTTAGTAGCACGGAAATAGAAAGGATGTAAGCGTATGCATCTCGTATATAAAGTATTCAAAGCTGTCATCCACTTCCATCCGCTTTCATCCGCTAGGCTTCCGATGAACATCCGTTTAACATCCCCGCTACATACTACCCACGTCCGTTATTTTCCGTTCTGTTTTCGCAAATTTTGTCCATTTCTGGAGCGGATGAAAA